TAAATAAAAATAAAATGTTACACAATGTATGTGCATTTGCAAACAGATTAATTATTGTGCACATTTCATACATGCTGTCACAAAATGGATCATTTGTTTATATGACTTGAAATTTGAACTTTGACAAAGACACGCACAGTTGAAACTACAAGATGGCTTATTGGATTGTTCAAACAACACAAAAAATAATAAAACAGAACATAACAAAAAAAAAAATTTTATTATTTTGTGTATAACCATATTTTAATCTACGGTATGTCATTTTTTTGTGTATTGGGCTAAGTAATTTTATTATTCACTTGTTCGATTGATGAAAATAAAGTATTTTTGATTCTTGATTCTCGATTATTCACTGAACAAAAAAACAAAATACTTTGGATTTCAAACAAGACATAAAAATGATTCATAGTATATAAAAATTTCAATATTAGTCATCATCAGAGACAACAATTATACAACAGGCAATAATGACTAATATACAGCCACCAGAAATTATAGAAAAAATAAATCTTAGAATTGCTCATTTAATATAATTACCTAAGTTTTTTCACTTTTTTGCTAGGGGTCATTCACAATTATCAATATTTTTGCAAGTGTACAAACAGTACTCTTTTTCGGTACTCCCTCCCTACCCTCTGAATGTGTACGTAAAACCATTCTCCATTTTTATGTGATGTCAACTAAAGTACTGTGTAAGTTGGTTGCATAAAATGTCTATTACATCCAGGATTGCATTATAATTGGTCATAAAAATCTATTATATTATATTGCATGTTATTTTGAATTAACATTTTCATGCATATGTCCATAATGTTGGATTATACAAGGCTTTGATTCATACCACCCACTCTATTCCAAAATTCCTTGTATGTCGAGGCAGCTAAATTCTGGAACTCTCTTTCTCTTGATATCCACTCTCAAACAAAAGTTATTCCTTTTTAAACTACACTTTTAATTACTTTATTGAACAAATAAATGAATGAATTTTATCTTTTTCTCTTAACTATTTTCTCGTACACTTTTTTATATCTTTTATATACATAATAATTAAATTTTTATTTATCATATTAAGTTATTGGCCATGGCTTTAGCACATAATTATTATCTCTAGACATGCTACTGGTCAATTTTTTTATTTTATCTTGTGTCAATTTGTAATAAATAAATAAAAAGCAAATATATTCATCTTCAGGTGATATGTTTTTAATCAATGTTTGAAGAAGCAAATCTATCCAAGGCATAATTAAATTTGAATATTCACCCACATATATATTGCATGATTACAATCAATCATTATAAACCTCTTCATACTTTGTCTATTTGTGTTAAAGGTCAAATTTGGGCCCTAGGAGCACCCGATGCTTTGTTCAATACAGTTGGGAGCTTTCGATTTGCGTGACGACGTGATACAATAACGGATTCACTTATGCATGACCAGCCTATGTTCTCAGCACAACACAGATTTGGCCAAATTGCGTCCTGGAATCCATGCGACAAGGAGAACTAGGCGTTCTTGCATGCGCAGATGACTTTATGTGATGTCATTACATTCTACATCCTACCTTTGTAGTCCAATCATAAGCTCCCTAAGAATATTTCCTAATAAATTAGATTGAGATATTACTTACTCATTTGGATACTGAAAGCCAAGTTTTTCTAAAAGTCCAATGCACGCTACACCAACAGCACCGGCAAAAATGAACACGCCAAAGAAACGATGAACGACTAGGTAAGCTTTTCGCATTGATTCGCTGGCTTTTGGAAAGAAGAAGAACAGGAAGCCAAAGACAAGCTGATAAAAAGAAATAAAAGATGTACAATGTTAAATATGTACTGTATATTTGAACATGATACCAACTGTGCTGGTGTGTATTTATGTATATTTTTTTGTTGCTGGTTAGTCTACCCTGGGTGGTTTATTCCTAAGTCTTGAGTCTTGGTCTTGAACAGCAATTACTGTACCTATGGCTCATTTGCTGCAGTGGCGTATCTAAGGAGTCCGCATGGGGAGGAAGGGGGTCTTGCAGTATTCCCACCCCTTAGTCGAAATGTTTGAATTGAGATTTTTCCTGTGGTCTTTTTAGAGTACTGTGCGATTTCGTATAAATGGTTGTCCATAATAAAATATAACAATTTTCAGTAAAATAGGTAGCACAAGTGTCTCATGTCTTGAAGTAGCTGCCGCACCACACCCCCACCCATTTGGTTGGTATGCAAGTGAGCTCCCCAGGTGTTAGGACCAAATCTTTAGCGAGTTATGTCTGAAAATAGACAGGGGAAACCCCCTTTTTGAAAATGTTCCTCTTCTGGCTATCCCCTACCCCTACACTAAGTTCATATCCTCATCAGTAGGCCTTCAATAGTTCTCTTATGGCTCTTGAAAATGCTATGATTCAGTGAAGAGCAACATTTAAATCTTGATGTCTCATCATTATGATGACATCTACACATATCTATGACATGTACATATATGAATTTAAATGCAAATTTTCTCACCTGAAATGTAAACAATATGAAGATAATTAGGCCAATCCAGCTATGTAGAGAGTACATGTTGGCAATATTGTTAACATTATGATTGCGGAACACTGCTTTCAGTCCAACACACGAACATAAAAAGGCAAATAACTGTAACATCAGATGCATTGTCTTAACTACAACTTTACTCTCCTTGCTAAATACCCGATACACCATGATAGCTGTCAAAAGATAAAAGAACAAACATCATCATTATCATCAGGGACACCTGCAAAATTTGAAACAGCGGCATAAGAATCTACTAGCGGTTTACAGAGAATTCACCCTTGGTGTCGTGCTTCAGCCCATTTTTCTCTCTGGGCATGCCGCTAACCTGTCTTTTTGCCGAATTTATAATAAATAAATAAGGTTTCGAAATAGGACAGGTATAGGAAATTTTAAGTCTAAAATAATATGGAAGTTTTTGTTTAATTTTTTTTTAAATTTTTATTTATTTAAAATCACATCTAACAGCAGGAAACCCACCACTTACAGAATGGATCGAAAAGCTAAAACATAAATGAGAATAATAATAATTGTTATATGTAGCTAGTATATTCTATTACATTTCAAAGCACAATCTTTAAAGTATAACAACAATACAGGAATTTATCCAACCTAGCGATGCCTGTTGTTATGCTCAGCTGGCATTATCAAGTTTAATGTGATACATTATATACAGTACCTTACAATTATGTAGAATAAGGGGCTTGCCATGCCAAAACCAGCACAGTGACCAAAAGAAGAAAATTTACTTTTTGATATTTTCACATTAACCACATTTATAAACTTTAAAATGATCATTTACTGAAATCGACTTGCACTAAAGTATACTGGCACATTCTTATGCTAATTAATCAGTTTAACATTTATCGACAGTATGCTGGTTTGGGGGATGGCAACCCTCATATAACATGTACATACAAACATAATAGAAACAGACAACATATTATACCTTGGCCATACATATAGACAAGTCCAATAACCATGAGCAAAGGATGAAGGTTGAACTCTTGAGAAGAGCCATCCCACTTGAATCCTCCAAGAACATTCCCAGTCCAGTAGCCTAGCAACACGAGCATTACCACACCAACCACTTGGGTAAAGGTTACACAAACAAACAAAAAACTGGCCATGTCATACAATCACGGTCGCTGCTGAAAGAGATAAATTAATCTCTAATAATAGAGTTATACGGTCGCTACAGTTATAATGCAATAAACAAGCTATAGAAAAAATTATTGTGCTATAGAAAAATTATACAGGTAGTTTAAATGCAATAAACATATGCCTGTATTTTGTTATTTTTAATGGTATCATTTTATATAATAGAAATATTGTGTACAGTTATTTCATGTGTGTTTGACAGTCAGTAGGAGCGGATCCAGAGATGTCGGGGGGGGGGGGGGGGGTCCGAAAGTGGGACCAAGATAAGACCACCTTAGGGGGTCTGGGGGAATATCCCTGTGAAATTTTTGTTTTCTAGATGCCCAAAAATAACATCTGAGGCATTTGGGGCGATAAAGTTTTTCTTTTTGTTTGTTTGTTCCTTTTTTTTAACTTTCCAAAAAGTAGGGGGGGGTGAACGGGGCCCCCTAAATCCGTGCCTGGTCAGAAAAGCATACTCTTTGAGTTGAGCTATTAATTTGAATAGTAAAAATTGAGTATCTGAATTGCTTACTGCAGCAAACATGACATGACTTACCTCGTTGCCCACTGCTATCAAATAAGTGCTGCTATTAAATATCATTTGAACAAACATTGCGATATTTATGTGAAAGTAACATACCTGACATGATTTGATGTTTCTTATTATTTAACTACATTTCTCAGCAATAAGAAAAAATAAATGCTGATCTCAAATTAGCATCACAGCCTAATAAAATTTCATAAACGATGTAGCGCTCATTGGAATATTCCTATATAAATCTCACTCGGTGGCGAATCTACAGTAGGCATTCAAAATAGAGGGAACGAAAGGGGAAACTTTTACAGATGAAGTCTAGCCACCTCAGCCGAACCATGGATGAGGCTGAGGTAAGTAAATTTATGATACACCTAAATTTTAACACAATTTTCTTTTTTTTTCTTCATTTTAAAAAATATTTTTGACGAAATAAATTATTTGTATCATACTTATATTGGCAGGTAATATATTATACAGAAGCTGTATTTTTTTTCTTTTTGACTCATCCTCATCGTATAAACTTAACTGATTCATTTAAATGGGTGATTCAGTACCAATTAATTAGATGTTGAAGATTTTTATTAAACATTATCACAGACAGAATTTTTTAAAGATAAAAAGTGAATTTGTAATGTCTTAAGTATAGGTTCATTACAAAATCAATTGGCAGATTCTAATAGCATCATATGTGATGAATCACTCAAATCAAAATTGAATATGGCCATTATACTGCTACCCTTAAACATCAAGATTGGAGGTGTTCAAGCTTCATTCCCAGCATAATTTCTGCTGTTAAGAAAAATCTGATTTTATATATATGTTACAAAGATTTATAAATATATTACGGAATTACTGGTTATAACAGAATTTAGACATTCCTAAACATGAAAAAATGTAAAACAAGACTGAAATTTGATTTTTTGTGTTCCACACTAACAATAAACGCAGACGATTTATTTATGTTCGATTTTGTGATAGGTCTGCGAAAAAAATATAGTAAGTGCCGGAAACATTACTAGGCTAGGCCTAGCCTTACCTTGATTTAGGTTCTGTTGTCAGACAGCTGACATGATTTTTTTCTGTTGCTAGTATTATTGACACTTAGAATATTTCACTGGAATTATTTCAAATTTTTAAAAAAAATGATTCTGACCAAGACTTTGAAAATTAAACAAACATACTGTATCTCAGGCCAACTCGATCGACCGCAGTGTGCGAGATGCCAAGTACAAAAACTAATCATTAGAGAGGGCGCACTTTTTTAACTGTATAAAGTACACACAAAAACAAGGGCATTCCAGCGGATGCGATCTACAACCTCTGAATTTGCCTAGTAACGAAGAAGTCATCAAGAAAATGGTAATCTCCTATGAGAAATAGTCTCTATTTCTAATTCTTTTTATCCTTTTGCGTACAACTAAAACTTATGCCAATATTTTTCCATGGTTTATAATAATTAGCGTAATGCATATGCATAAGATGTAATGGAATATACACATTTGTTGTAATTGTAATCATATTTAATGTGATAGCTATGAATATAACTTGTGATTAAAAAATTATATTTAATACTGTTAAAAAAAGCAATACCATAATGCCACTGACGGTCAGTGGAATGGTGTTGTACTCAATGTCCAATGGTCAGTTGATCACAGGTCGATGTCAGAGGTTGACAAAGTGTTTACTGCCATTTATGCATATACCTGTATAAGCCTGTATTATCGCATAGTATTGCCATCACACAGCCAGCAGCTAGTGTGGATGGCTTAAAGTAAGCAAGTACTGTAAGTATATTGGGTAGTTGTGCATGCCACTACAAGTACCATTATAGGAAAGATTTATGTATTTTTAATTATGGTAAATATGCTGGTGTACCAGTTGACTTAGGGGTCATCCATAATTATCAACATTTTCAAAAGAGTACAAAACATACTCTTTTCTGTTACCCCCTCCCTCCCCCCGAAAGTGTACACAATAAAATGTTGATTTGTGTCATTTTGAGATCAACATTTTATGTTTTTCATAAAAGAGTACTTATGCCTACACCTGTCTCTTATACACATCTAGATGTGTATAAGAGACAGCGCAAGCCCAGTGGTCTGATATTATATATCCCTTTATAAAGTACAGTAGCATTGCTATAGGAAAAAATATTTGGTATCATTTGTTTCTACTGTATATTTGATCATTGTTTTTATCATTTACCATTTTGCTTATTATTTCTACATACATTTACACAGTATTATATCATACATTATTATTTATATATATATATTTATACAATATATATATATATATATATATATACAGGCAATGCAAGCCAAACTGCAGAATCTCTTTGCACGCCGCCTGTGTGTGCAAGTAGTACCTGTGAACTCAGGGAAGGTCCCTGGTCGGCTAGCGGATAGGGCGCAATCAGTACTGTACATGCGTGACGATTGCAATATTCAGTGAAGTGTCTGTTTTTTTATAAACGGTAATTTATAAAACAATATTTATTAATTGAATTTTCATGAATTTCTTTCGGCTCGGTATTCCAAAAAAAAAAAAAAATGGTAAGGCTAAACCATTACCTACCCAGTGAACGTTTTACTGACAACTCACAGTTAATCATGGAATTATACCGCGATTAAAAATGGACAGTTCTAAGCAGGCCTTATGGTACTAGTTTATCCACGTGGTGGCAATTACCAAGTTCATCTTATAACTGTGCGCAACGCTTGACCTCAAGACACAGTATATACCCGCGTATAAGGCGACCTGCGCATAAGACGACCCTCGAGTTAGAGAAGATTTTTGTATGTCGGGCGTATAAGACAACCGCTTGCTTCATCGTTTGAATTCCTAATTTTTCTACTTTTATGGTCTTGATACTGCATCTAGCTGCCCATAAACGGAGTAAAATGCAAGGTTATCTTCCAAAAATGGTATCATTTATGTTTTTTTAAACATCAAAATCTTATTTCCCCGTATTTAAAATTGCGTTAATATAAACTAACATTTAGTAGCTTCACTGCCTAGTAAATCCATGTGTTATAGACGATCACACATAAGACAAACATGATTTAATAAATCTAAAATGTGTAGGCCTATGCCGTGTGTGTAGGATGAAACCCTGTTTTTCGTTCGTAATTTGCTATTTTAAGCCTCGTCTACGTGAGTATATACGGTAGCTGTATTTTTCGTAGACATCACAGTTCGACGATCCGTTATAACTAATACTTCAAAAGTAAAGCGTATTTTGTTTTTAAATAAATATTATCTAAATTTTAATAGCCAACCAAATATACACGTCTGCTTCGGAGAACATGGCGTTAAATTCTAGGGAGGAACTATAAGCCTAGTTAGTACCGCCTAGAAAATTGTGAGTAACCAGCCGTGTGCGAGCATGACAAAAAAAAAAAAAATAGGCACAGGCTAGTTAGATTTTTTATTTAGGCCAGCACGTAATATTGACTAATTTCAATGTACCCTCAATGTATACAAACTATATTTTGGAGATAGTTGTAATATTGAAGCATCTTTAGCATAGCCCCGATCTTAGCTTATGATCACTAAATGTGATAATTAACACACGCGACAGGCAAAGTTGTTGGGTCAGTTCTCTCTACTAAAATGAAAACTATAGTCGGATTTTGGAAAAAATATCATTTATGATTTAAGGACGAGGGAAAGTGAGAAAAGAAAATGATGTATCCTCACTGATTTGTTCAAATCTTTATCCACATCAAAATTTAGTGTATGCATCTTTGTATATATAACAGACTCCATCTTGTAGGTATTAGTTTTGATGAATTGTTTCCGTTTTTTTAAGTGTACATATATTGTTAGCATTAATAAATAAAATTAACTGTATAGAGTAAATGACGTTTAAGTTGTAGGACACGGGTCATGCCGCGTTGTCTCTGATAAGTAGTACCAAAAATGTATCCACCCTTGAAATATTGCGCATCACCCTTTAAATTTTTTGGACAATATTTTCTGAAATTCCGTCACTCTTTAAAAATCCTGGCGAGGATATATATATATATATATATATATCTTCATCTTTACCCTAGCTGCACTGATGAGGCCTAGAAGGCCGAAACGGATCCGTCTGCAGATATTGGGATTTTTTCCAGTGGATATTTATTTTGTTTTGTCATTCTTGATCGGATTTTCTCTACTGTTCCGTTTAAACTTTATATTATCATTATTTGCATTTATGTGGCTGCTCGTTGTTTTTATGGGTTTATCCCATTTGCCATTAAATTTATATATATATATATATATATATATATAGTATGTTGTTCATTAACTAAAACTTAACATTGAATAAAGTACTACAAAAAATCTATAAAAAAAATATCCACTCTTTAGATAAAGTAAATGATTTTTTTTATGTACGTACAGTATGTATGTAGTGAAATGTATATAACCCACAATACTGAGGTCTCTATTCGATGAGTGAACCAAAAGGAAGTGAAAAAACTAAACCAAGATCTATCCCAAGCTAACAAAAAAACCAAAAAGAACAACACAAGCAGAGGAACAAGAATCACTGCACTTAAATCAATACCAAGATAACAACTTTAATCAATATTGAGTGGTAATACTAGAGTACTACAGTCCCACACTTGCAGTAAACTGACTTACCTGTGGTATCTTTAGCTGAATATATCCTCAGGTGGTTTGGAAGGACTGTACAGGTGCCAGTGTTATCTACAGAAAACCAAAAGTCAATGAAGCGTGATAAATGAAATGCAGCTAGGATGAAAACAGTACGTAATTTTTTTGCAGGTTGGTACTCAACAATACCTTTACACAATATGATATTTATATATCAAATCAAAATGGTAATGGGCTGAATACTATTTGAATACAGTACCATCTGTAGTATACTATATAATTTTCACCAGTAAATCAAATACCTGTACTATTTTTATGTATCAAAAACTGATATCACTGTGTTTTTTTTTCCATTCATATCCTTTATTTATTCAACTATAATTTACATGATAAATTGATTTAAAATATTCACAACTGAAAAAAAAAACCAGATGTTATAAAGGGACTATAGCCTTAACAAGGTATGTTCCCTGTCCTTTTAATTACCCCACTAACTATAGGCTACACTTAACTAAAAATTACATCAATTAGGTGTACTGTACTTTATTTACAAAATCACAAGACATTTGATTGGGTCTGATGTAAAATAAAAAATGGTTTATGAGTTTAATCAAATACCTGTACTATTTTTATGTATCAAAAACTGATATCACTGTGTTTTTTTTTCCATTCATATCCTTTATTTATTCAACTATAATTTACATGATAAATTGATTTAAAATATTCACAACTGAAAAAAAAAACCAGATGTTATAAAGGGACTATAGCCTTAACAAGGTGTGTTCCCTGTCCTTTTAATTACCCCACTAACTATAGGCTACACTTAACTAAAAATTACATCAATTAGGTGTACTGTACTTTATTTACAAAATCACAAGACATTTGATTGGGTCTGATGTAAAATAAAAAATGGTTTATGAGTTTACTTGCACGGAAGGTCTACACAGTATAAAAATAGGCTCCGAGTGGGAGCGTGTCTACTGACAAATTTAATAGAAACGGTGCTTTTTATCCAAGCTTTCCAGTTTATGCAGACTGACTGATGATTAATATTGTTAATAAGCTAACATCAATTCCAAAACCGAGTTAGGGTAGAAAAAAAAACAGGAACAACCACAAGCAAAACAGTCTCGACCTGAGTTCAACTGTAGACCCGTTTAACCACTTCTACTCGATTTAATTTTAACTTCCAACTTTCGGAACTGTGCGCCAGATAGATAATGACGAATTGGTTAACAATGCATCATACCACACACGATCGAGTTTACGGGTAGTAGTAAAATCACGTCATATCACACATCGCGAATGTGACATAATGTCAACTTTACACTTCCGGATTCTTACTTCACACTTTTGTGAATGTCAACTCACGCTCACAATGTCAACTTTACGCTTCCCGATTGACCAGGATAGCAAAGTGTCTACTGCCTGAGGGCAGTAGACACAAAAAGGCTTCGTTTAATAGCTTTCTGTGTATCAGTCTACCTTCAAAAAGTTTACTTAGTATAGTCTGGAGACGAGGCTTTTGTCTTGTTTTACATTTTGATGTTTTATTGTCAACATGGGAAATAAATAAATATTGTACTATATAACACATTAAACCAGTCTAGAATAACATTATAACTTCTAATATGATAATTCTGTCATCGTAAATTAACAAATTTGTTTGTACAGTACAGGCATAAGCTAGAACAATCTTCTTTTCACTGATGTACCTTATGTTACAATAAGCACCACTGTGCTTTGCAGCTTATGACGGCTTCAATACAGCACCTATTATTATTATTATTGTAGTCCAACTTGTTAATATTTATCCCGATCATGAACGTAGACTTGGAGAGGGGTACAGGGATGCACCCCTCCCCATGGCAGCAATTAGTTCCACTGAGTAGGTTAAGATACTAAAATGATCATTAAGTTTTCATTGGGAATAGGGATTTAGTTCCGAATTCTCTATTTTTACACCTCTACCCCAGGCGAAAACCAGCCGATGGTACAAAGTAACAACTTGGAGTATGTTGGGTATATACTGTACTCTCAAAAGCACAATGAAATTTATCAAAATCTCTTTTATTCGAGAGCAGCACTTATTATTCAAGAAAGGTGGTTATTGGAGCATTTTACAGTTCAATACATTCTTTTATTATACAAATTTTACAGTATACACGTTTACTATTATTGAACGAGTTGAGTCTTTCAAATACTTAGGTGTTACTTTTGATCCTGTACTAACTTGGAAAGACCACATAAATAAATTGTCTTCAAATGTGTCTAAGCGTATTGGTGTCATCCGCCGTATAAAATACCTACTTCCACCGCATACTCTTAAAATGCTTGCTAAGTCATCAGTATTACCCTTTTTTTATTATTGTTGCCGTGTCTGAACCAATTGTAAGGTTCAGTATTCTAATTGTTTACAAGTTATAATGAACAGATCAAGCAGAATTGTTTTGTCTGTTGATATATATACTTCTGTTGATGAATATGTTAAGTTCACTTGCCTGGAAAAGACTATATGTAAGGTGGAATTATCAGAGCCCTAATGACTTTTAAATGTTTAAAAGGGTATACTCCATCTTATCTATCCTCTTAATTTACTTTTAATATTGATTCCTATTCTAAATGTACACATAGTCAAACTCATAATAACCATATTGTACCACAATGGAGTAACCGTCAAGGCAAGAGAACTTTTTTGCATTATCCAACAAAGTTGTGGAATGATCTTCCACATGTATACCAGTACACACGTACATACATGACTATTTTAACTTTTAAAAATTCTTAATTATTTGTATATAGGAATGTTTATGTTACTTGCATTGCTTTTCAATATTTGTTTAATTATGCAACTGTACCACTTTGAAAACAGTACACAAGAACTGAAAGTGCATGCAGTAAAAAGACAGAATAAATAAAAATAAATTTAATTCCTATTTATATGTGTAAATTTCAGATTTTCCAAGATGTGTTGCATATTATATACTTTTGTATATACATATATTTTTTTATCAATTAACTTCAAATCTGCTTAATAAAACAAAAATTTTAACTAAAAAAAAAAACAAATAGTGGTAGTAAACAAGGTATGATGAGAGTAAATGAATCTACATTCAAATAGATACTAAAATTGTTTATGCAAAAATATCAAACATAAATTGTAATACAAGTACTAGTAGTTGTAATTCTATACGAAGCAGAGAAAAGTCACTTAGTGTTGAAACTGCTAAATGCACCTCAGTATCAGGTAGCCAATCAGTATAATGAAAATCACAGAGAAAAACAAGGCACAAGTGAATATTATACAATATTAAAGAAATAGGATCTAGGATATTATATATTTTTTTTTTATTTATTTATGCTTTCCTTTTTATATTTGTTATGGTTAAAATTCCGAAATAAAAGTTGATTGATTGATTGACATTCAGAAGGGATAAATGCCTGTCAAAACAATCCTAATAAAAAGGATGGGTTGTAGGATTCATTGATGATGATAACAAATACTGTATCTGATGACCATTACAAAGATTAAGATGATTTCAGTGATGATAAAGATGTTGATACAATGATGAAGATGATTATGATTTAGTGATGATAAAATTGACTGTGAAGAAGAAGATGATGTCAATAATGAAGATTTAGTGAAGTTAAAATTGATGGTAATTATGATGTGATGGCAATGATTAGCAAAGGATTAAGATATACTTTATGGTAGCAATTATGATGATGGATTTAGTGAAGATAAAAATCAAATCAAAACGACAAATAAAATTTCAGATAATGAAAACAATTATTATGATGATGATTGGTGTTGAATAGCTTCGTGGTAAAGATGCTTGCCTTTCTAATCCCAGCGTCCAGGGTTCACATCCTGTCAGGACTTTTTCTCACGACCAAAATCAACTCCACCCCTAGGCCTCAAAAGAGGTTTATAAAGCATCATCCCATCCTTAAGTGGGGAGTGTACTTGCTGTTGGATGTGAAGAAATTTCAATTTAAATGATAATGATGATGGTGGTGGTAATGGTGGTGGTGATAATGATGATGATAATGATGATGATTATGATGATGATGATGATGTCAATAATGGATATTATCATAAAATGTCATAATAAAGCAATCGTTATCATAAAGTATCATAATTCAGCAATCAATTAGCAAATAAAAGCAATCTTTTATTCAAGGAAGTAAGGTTTGCTATATTCAATTAAGCATAATTATAATATACTAGGCTTACGTTCCTGATAAGGTTGCTGGTAAGTACAGTATGAATAATAAGTCTACAAACAACGTCTGTTGTAATCAGATATTCAAATATCTCAGCAAATGCCCTTTCACTTACATGCAACATGGAGAAAGCTTAATGCATTCAGCCTACAAGGTTACATTAATAATTTAAGAATATTATTTGTTCCTCAAATAATAACCACTCTATGCACACTAATTATACTGATTCACTATTATTAACAAATATGCTGATTAATATAATCCTTGAGGTTAATATTGCGCTACCGTAATCCTGTACGATGACAGTAAACCATATACATACTTGGCTTGGGTTCAAGTAAACGAACATTGGATGATATTCACAAAAATAGCTAATGAATAATAGGAAAAGTTTAATAATTCAAACACAATAAAATATTACAAATCAATTCTATTAATAGGATTGATATAAATGAGATACAGGTCGAAATACAGATGAATTATACAAAAAAATGTTGCTTCTAAATTCAAAATCATAAATACATACGTGCTATTATTATTATTATTATTATTGATTGCTACAAAAACGTAAAACAATAACATACTGATCATTATTGTTTATTTTCAGAAAATATTTCAGACGTTCCTAGTTTCTTTTCTATTCTTTCTTTATTCTTTTATATTTTATGTTAATTTTATTCATAAATAACAGATGATTACTTACATCATACATTTATTAAGCTTATTTTTAAATTACACTTTTTATGTTTTAAGGCCTATATGTATACATTGTGTACGTATTTAACATTTTCTATCTTTGTCAATTTAAAGTCACACGTACTATATGTCCTGGTCCTGACCCTTTATTTTCACTATTGGATAGGCTTATCTTCTACACATGGATATCTTTCTTGAAGCAAGAAATCAAGTTGTCTTTACACCCAGTACCGCTTGTATATTTTATTCGTGTGGGAAATTTTTAAACAAAGTTACGCCACTCTATGTACACTAATCATACTGATTCAATATTATTAACAAATATGCAGATTAACGCTACGTTCAGTCTTGGAGATAAGCTGGGCTTGAGTAAATTTTGAAAACAACAAAACAATTAATAATTTAGTAAATTTTAGAATATTATAGTAGGGTTGGAGAAGCGACTCAATTTATGCGGGAGCAAATGAATATTTGATAATTGTAGATACCATATAGTACTACAGTACATATTTATTAAAGCTATCAAGCACAAGCAAAACACAAAAGAAAAATTAAAGAAAAAATATCATTTCAACAAAAATTAAATTAAATCTTGATATGTAATGTATTTTTTGATGATCCAAAGGAATGTCATTTTACTTTAAACAATGTTTTGCCAGAATTCTACCAGAATTTTTAAATTGACTATAAATATGTTACAAGTTAGTCATGATTTTACCTTAATTTTTCTAATGTCCCTGACAACCTGTCATCAACTTCAAATACTGTATAGAAATAACTTTAAAGTAACTTTGTAACTAACAACTTATATTGTTTACTTAACAATGCTGGTAGAATACCAGCAACATATTCTAGAAGGAAGTCAAGCAGAATGCTATCAGCAAACCACCAAGGGATGGCATTATTTTCAGATGCTAGTGAATGCACTAGTGAAAAAGGCCCGTCGATATAGACAACAGCAAGACTACAATTTCTAGATTTAACATAAAATATAAAGATTAATACGGTACGTGTTTGATGCAATTACATCAACACTACGACTCAGTGCTAATGTGATCATGTTAAATATTAAAGATCAATTAAGTGTTGAATATTAATAACCAAGTAATATTCATAAATAAATATTTGTCTCAGCGTAATTACTACTTAATGCATGGTGAAATCAGGCTGGAATCCACGCTTAGCAAACATTAAATCCATAAAGTGCTGTGTTGGCTACAGCGAAATGGCTCAAGTGAAATTTCTACCATGTCTGATATGATGAAAATACATTGACGTATCTAGAAATCTTGAAATGGGGGCTGAGGTGGAACTAGATCCCAAAATAAAGTTATCTGAGATAATTTCGAACTACTTGAGCATTCTCTTTGGGGGTGATTGGGAGGTGGGGGCGAGCATTTTTTGGGGGGCGTGAGCACACCTCTAAATACACCACTGTCGCAGTGTGACTGCAATTCCAATCAAAAATTTTTAATGGAACTGAAGAGGTTATCATTTGCTCCAATACATCAAATTTCTTCTAAATAATATGTAACAGCGCAATAAAAATAAAACACAAACTAAATACTTGAAATGTCACAGTACAGCAATTTGAGGGTCATGATATTATTGCCATAGTAACAAGACTCAACCTGTCGAAAAATAAAAATAAATTTATAAAAAGAATAAATATTTACTATTGTACCATCACGAATTGAACCCGAGATCATGGACATCTAACAAAGTAACACTGTAATGTACCAAATTTAGTATTACTGTATATTCAAGGTGTAATCTTTGTCTTTAGTTCATCTAACAGTACAGTGGTGAATTTCAAACTGCACCTTTAAATTACCAATTGTAAAAATTCTGAGTTAGTGATTTTATAGGATTCGAATGACATAATTCCCAAAAAGCCAATTAATATTATTTGATTCTTTACGGCTAATTAAATGCAAACCGTGGATGCAAGCTACTGAATGAGGTAGCCTGTCTTATCTCCCGCTAGATGTTATCATCATTTACACATCCAGCCCAGGAGGTATAAAAAATATATATTTTATACCTTCTTGATGCTTAGCTACAGAATAACCTTTGCACTATGAAATATTACACTTGCACATTAAAAAAGGCACAAAATGTGAGACTATCTGTAATAAAATAGTCAAAGAAAATTTTTGAAAAAAAATATACTGTATCTTTATAAAAGATACATTATAATTTTAACTCTACTAATTTATAACTGATATAAAGAATACATAAATAAATGCATAAATAAATAATGCATATAACTGTAACTGATAAAATGGAACAAATTACCCAATAATCAATTTCAGCATGTTTTCTAATCTATTTGTTATTTATTAAAATTTTAAAGACAATAACATTCATTTTATAATCACTACACAAACAATATTATCAAATAACTACTACTACTTCTACAAAATAATAAAATGATGATAATAAAATAAGAATAATGGTAATGATTATGAAAAATATGATCATAATAACTATAAATAAATACATAAATAAATAAATAAATAAATAAGCATAATTATCTATGTGCTAAAAATGTAATGAGGTCACCACTATTATCATAAAAATAATGATAATATTTATATTAGGTATATTTATTACAATATATGTGAAATTACAATGCAATGAAAGTACAAAGAAATTCATCGAAAATAAGAGCTTTTCTCCTTTAACGAGTCTTTATTTCTTACTAGGATATAAAATGCTAAAAATCCCAAGACTGGAGCACATTGAATACTAACCGATGATTGAATGCTGAGAATGCAAATGATTACGGATAATTGAATGCTAATCACGTTTTGCTGAGTCAATGCAATACACGACAGAAAACCGCAATAGAAATTGTCTGATAGAAATGTTCAAAGGCTACGCCTGGCAGACTTAAAACACACATAAGAGCTTCAACAACTATAACCATCTAAAACAAGCAAGAATTTCAATGCATGCAAAATGAATACAGAAATATTTAAATCTATATTTTTTTCTAAACCAATACTCTAAGGTAATAAACATATAATATTTAATGATTCTTTTGATACTTAATAACAAAATCTGACTATTGGAACGATAACAAAATATTTGAATTTGCTTTTGCAGTAATTGCAAACCACAAAGAATGCCTTGAAACCAGGGTATGGTTCATACACAAACCGAAGAATGCACAGTATGAAATTGATCAACTGCTACATTTCCAACATTGCGGAATCATGAAAATCTATACATAAACCAATATGTAGATGATATGCTGAAAATACTGAAAGAAAATCACTAGAACGTGCTTATTACGAATACTACATTCATCCAGACTGTTTCTATTCATTACCTATCTAATTTTTCCTGTCCAATTCACACTTTGTTCTAATACAGTGTGAAGCTTATTCTGTTTTAATACTGCATTTCTATATTGCATAATGTTGCAACTTTACTTTTTTTTAAATCTTTAAACATTAAAGTCACTGCTTCTAAAATATAAAAATCCTCAATTTTCAGGCAAATACTTAAGGATGTAAGTACCTGCAATTTGATTTGATTGAAAGGTTATAGGAATGATATTTCTTACGACAAAAAAAATATATATATAAACGATATTTCTAAATGCCCATATATATCCTTAATTCAAATTATATTTGGATGAACATAATACTACAGCCAGCCCCTATTTAAGGGACACCCCTAATGAGACAACTTTACGTTCCCAAAGGTGTTCCTTTAATAAGGTTCTCAGGGGCGGATCCAGAGAAAATTCTGAGTAGGGGGAATTTGAAAGATGGGGGAATTTGAAAGATGGGGGAATTTGAAAGATGGGGGAATTTGAAAGATGGGGGAATTTGAAAGATGGGGGAATTTGAGGGGATAGTGTTTGAGATTTTTATTCCATGTCTATGCTTGACCATAGACATGGAATTTTGGTAACATGGAATTTAAATTGAAATTTACCCTGCTGTGGAGTACTATGCTTCACTATTTCTCCTTCCTTTTCTTCTAGTTTTTTATTATCTCTTTCTTTGGGGCGGGGGGTGGGAGGGGAGGGAGTGGCTTCCATGGTGACTACTGTATCACTTTATCACATGTAGTGCTACGAATCCAATTTAGTTTGTATGTTAGTCTTTTCGATAAGGGAGGTCAGCAGCATTATCGGGCCAAAAGGGATTGGGCCTAATTCAGGAAAGACATTTAAAGGCATTTTGTTAGGCTACTGTATTAAAGGCAAATATGGAAGATGACTCGTTGCCAGGGGTGCCTACATTTTCTAATCACTTGGGCCTTCACTGAGGAACTATGTGCAATTTTTTGGAAGATTATTTTATGTGGAGTGCTTGAACATGCCCCAAGGCCTTCACTGAGGAACTCTGTGCAATTTTTTGGAAGATTATTTTATGTGGAGTGCTTGAACACGCCCCAAGAAAGAATGATGGTTTTGTTTTTGGTCTGGACATAGTAAAGCCATGTGGTATCACATGGTACAATGTGAAGTATTATTGAAGCAATTTCAACATGTGCTGGTGAAGGAGATTTGCCTCACAAATACCTCCCAATGACTGGTATCTTCTGTACATGGGCAGTAAAGGCTTTACAGTAGTAGGCCTATGTCTAATACAAAATGAATGAATACACCTAAAGTGGACATATTTCGCCATTTACCCCTTAATTTACTACTGAATGCTTGAACACTAACAATAATAACTATTATAATAATAATTAAATATTATTATAATATGATTATAATGATGATGATTATTATAGTGATGATGATGATGATGATTATAATGATGATGATGATGGTGATTATAATGATGATGATTATCATAAGGATGATGATGGAAAAAAATTTGAGCATCAACATCTGAACTATACTAAGGACTCAGCCATTATGACGCTAAGGAATCACGCTCATTAACACAGTTACAGGGTATCCATATGTTGGCGTCTGTGGTACAATATTCCATATGCTGCATTATCATGGTGTATCCAAAGGCTCATTAGATACATTACATTTACTCTACAATTAGAATATACAAAAACTGTTGATTACTAGGTGGTAGTTATTATGAATTATCAACCCACCTGATTATGTATTCAGTTGTTGATGTTTCCGATGATACGTCCAAAAATGGATGTAACGAGCCGGTGAAGATATCGCACTCTTGCTAACTGCACTCGGTCACACAAGGTAGAACACCGTGCCGTAATAAAAACCTCAAGCTCTATAATTTATCTAACACTGTACTCACAGGCCAACAAATTTCTCATCAACCAATCCTGAAGCTTTCTTTCACAAATCCATTTTCTTCACATCTGCGGAGAAAAGATTACTATGGCAACAGGGAATGATGAGATCTAACAAACATATAATGAGGAAAGTTCCTAATACTGAGAAGTGATTCGTCTATAAATGGTGACCAGTCATGCATGGATAACTGAATAACCATGGTTACAGTAATCCTTTCCTTAAGTGTACTAACAGAATGCATAGATTCTACGTATGTCAGCTTAATTACAAAAATGTCATTGTTGTCGTTGGGTCATTATGTTACGACTGACTGAGCAGCTTCGTTGTTAATCATTTTGTTAGTTGGGTGATCCATTACGAACTGAAGTCAATGGCTTTTGTCACTAATATAACGGAATATTTCTGAAAATTAATTCCCACCAATCTATTATGAAACAAATTACTATTGATCATTCAATATTGTAGTATTGGCTTTTTCAGAATCTAATATGTACAAGAGCATGTGACTAAAATGTTGAAATCATTGCAAGGTTGATTATATCTACTATTTTATTATTTATAATAATGATGATGATGAAAATTATGACAATAATGATGATGTCATTACTTATTGCTACTGGACCTAATAATACTGCACTAAATAAATTAACCGAAACGCAGATAATAATTAGTGCATGGGCACTTAAACCTACCAGTGATGCTCATTTAGTTGGGAGACTCAATTAGGCATTATCAACGACTCCACCAACCGCTTAATTGAGTGTTTGTGATAAACTAGGAAGATGAACTCCTCCATGAGATAAGGCAAATTAATAATAGTTAATCAGCTTAATCCATAAGTATGTTATCCAATATCAAAACCAAACGTGTTTCGCCTTAGTGGCAGCAACGTCATTAATGAGGATGAAAATTCTAGACTTTCTGTCGCAGCTGTTGATATGATAATGTACAGACCTGTAAAAACCATTTTACTTGAAATATTTGTTGGTTAAGTGTTCTGTAAATATAGCTTGTTGAGCAGCATTGTTATTAACATATATCAATTTGTAAATCCTTCTTTTACTGTAATTATATCACAAAAAATGATGCTACATCAGAACAATTAAACAATTTTTGATATGTTGTAGCACTGATTTTTCTAAGACGGAAAAAAGTTGTCTGACGAAAAACTGGGGAACGGTGAATGAGATACAGATTTTTGAATATTTAAAAACTGGGGGAAAAGGGTGTAAAAAAGGGCAGTTACGCCCCTTTTCCCCCCAGTTTTTAAATATTCAAAAATCTGTATCTCATTCACCGTTCCTCAGTTTTTCGTCAGACAACTTTTTTTCCGTCTTAGAAAAATCAGTGCTACAACATATTAACATTTTTTTTCCTCCGGAGCCTGACTTTAAGTTGGGTCAAGCATTGAAAGGGGGATTGCGGGACACTGGGCTTGGTCTTTCCCTGCAACTTTCAACAATGCTCCAAACCTCAACTTGGTGACCTTTTAATTACTAATAACACACTACAGTGCCGGATTCAACGGAGCCGATTTCTCCCCTTACCCAATTTTTCAAAGTTTAAGAAAGAAAACAGAGAAAAAAAGGAAAATTATATTTAAATTTAAGTTTGAGAGTGCCATCCGGACATCAGAGGTGGCAATCATAAATTTTCGAACCCCAGCCCCAACCCAGGTGGGGCTGTCTGAGGTGGTGTAGACCCTTCATCTGTGAAATTCCCTGCTGGTCACCTCTAATATTTCGAATCCCTGGATCCGCCACGGCACTATCTCCGCGTATTGCTTCCCATCTGAAGCCAACCAGCAAGGCACATGGATGGAGGTAAAAAGCTTCATTTTCTTCAATTAATTCCAATCATCAGTCATTAGGGCCTACCTGACCCACTCCTGACAATTGAGCTTCCCTGGAATAATTCCAATATTCTTCCATTTTTCAATCACACAATCTTTAGTTTGTACATACCTGACCTAAACACTCACCACAACAAGATGGTTTCTCTTTGACACGAAACTCAGACAGGACAATGTTTTGCAATAGAATCATTCAACCATGAAATCCACTGACGGAACAAAATTTTTGTGTTGGTTTGTAGGAGTGGCGGTCACGAACTCCAGTACAATATTTGGTATACGCGGACCAATCGATGTATGAAACACAATTTCAAAAACATTTTGTGTTGTATGTTTTCAGTCAATTTTATCTCATTACCTTGTCATAAAAATACATAGTTGTCGGGGGGTGGGGGAGGGGTGAACCGGATTGCCTACAGGAAAATAAATCACTGGATTTAAAATATGTTCAATTTATTTCACATGATTCTGTAGTAATCTGTTATTGAATAAATTTGCATTGTATTGTAGCTACTGTATATAAGACATAACATATTTCACCGGCGCTAAGAAAATATTAATAATTATTAAGCAGTTGGAGAAAAAAAAACTACTGAATTATGTTTTGATGTATATATATACCAGTTCAGACATAACCATATGGAGAAACAGCTGCTCGAAAATACAATCACCACAGTTTTCTTGCAGCCAATGTACTTTTCTTGCCAAGTTATAATGGAACCTGTAATTCAGCTAGTAAGTTTCAGTGCACTTAAAAATTACTTTTAGAAACCTGAAGATAACGATTATTATAAAGTTAGCCTAATTAAAACAAAATAGGGGGTGGAATATGATTTAAAATATATATACCTGTAACAGGTATAAAATATATATACCTGTAACAGGGGTATATATACTGTCTCTTATACACATCTAGATGTGTATAAGAGACAGGTCTAATACAAAATGAATGAATACACCTAAAGTGGACATATTTCGCCATTTACCCCTTAATTTACTACTGAATGCTTGAACACTAACAATAATAACTATTATAATAATAATTAAATATTATTATAATATGATTATAATGATGATGATTATTATAGTGATGATGATGATGATGATTATAATTATGATGATGATGATGGTGATTATAATGACTGTCTCTTATACACATCTAGATGTGTATAAGAGACAGCATAAGAGCTTCAACAACTATAACCATCTAAAACAAGCAAGAATTTCAATGCATGCAAAATGAATACAGAAATATTTAAATCTATATTTTTTTCTAAACCAATACTCTAAGGTAATAAACATATAATATTTAATGATTCTTTTGATACTTAATAACAAAATCTGACTATTGGAACGATAACAAAATATTTGAATTTGCTTTTGCAGTAATTGCAAACCACAAAGAATGCCTTGAAACCAGGGTATGGTTCATACACAAACCGAAGAATGTACAGTATGAAATTGATCAACTGCTACATTTCCAACATTGCGGAATCATGAAAATCTATACATAAACCAATATGTAGATGATATGCTGAAAATACTGAAAGAAAATCACTAGAACGTGCTTATTACGAATACTACATTCATCCAGACTGTTTCTATTCATTACCTATCTAATTTAGTCCAAGAAGTATTTACATCATTAGTTGCATAAACAGGATTAAAATCAGCTTCATTGAGAATATATCTAATATTATTAAAATTAGCACGTTTAAAATTGTATACAATTCTGGGAATATTTTTAATTGTATTGACCTTAATATAAACATCGAATTCAAGCAACACATGATCAGTGTGAAAATTCTCATGAGATATATTAACACTAGATATTCGTTCCGGTTCGGAGGTGAATATCAAATCTAATATGTTATCACACTTTTTTCTCGAAGGGATTTGGTTGATTTGTGTGAGAAAAAAGTCGTTGAAAACATCACAAAAATTTTGTTCACATTGAGTTAAATTATTCGGAACAGGATCAATATATCCCTTAAGTTTAGGCACATTAAAATCTCCAATAACTAAGATATGCTTAAATATTGACGAAACTTTTTGAAGAGCAAAGTTAAGGTTATTGGTAAAAACACTAATCTCTCCATCAGGTGGTCTATAACACAGAATCACAGCAATCCTCTGATTTGTATTAGGCTTGATGTCAACGACCAGGATTTCGTCAGCGGATTCCAATTCGACTCGGCGTATGGAGAGCAGAGATTTCCTCACTGCAAACAAAACACCACCACCTCTAATCTTGCTGGAGTTCGCTCTATCTTTACGATATAAGATGTAATCAGGCGACGCTAGCTCAGCATCATCCACAGACCCATTTAGCCAGGTTTCAGAAACACAAATACTGTCGTGCTTGCCGTTCGCCAAAATTTCCTCAAAATCTCGAAGTTTGTTAATTCCACCACTTCGGACTGTTCTAATGCTACGAGCATTTAGATAAAGAAAATTCAACTCATTTTTACTCTGTGACTTCACCGGGCCAGGGCATGGGTGAATATCTCCACACACAAGCACAGCAGTAACAAAGAGTATATGTTTTGTAGAATTATACTTGTTTTTACAATTAGATCGTTCGTTGCGTAATGAGATTCTGAGCTGCTTGTGTGATTTATTTTCAACATGTAAACATTTAAATAAAACTTCGTGTCCGAACGATAATGGAAACACATTATCGGGCGAAGTAAGCTCATGTTTAAAATGACTCACAAATTTGAGATGATCTGTGGCAAAATCGTCTGAGTTTAACTTTAAGAAGTCAAATGACAGCAAAACGGAATAAAGCAACGAAGCACAAAGAATGCCTTTCACTCCAGGTGCCATGCTAATAGCAACAATCGGCGCTAGAATCAGCCAGGAATTAGCGTTGTTCTACAAAGCGTGAATAAATCTTGGTTCTTTATAAACTAAAATAACCCGTAAAACATTAAAACCTCACGAAAATAAGGTACACTCACACCATTAGAATGTTCGCCGAACAATTCGTAATGAAAATCCACACCAAAAGGCATTAAAACACGAAAAAGAGGCAGAGAATCAATAACCGGGAGCTCCACAGAAACACGTCCGCACGCCTTGCCAGCAGGCTCATGTTTTTATTCTATTGTTCTCTAGTTTGTAATGTCTTGTGTTTCATTGATATGCAACTAAGGTTGTTCGAACCGCAAGCGGGCAACTTCCACACACGAGACAACCGGATATTTTTGTGGCGGTATTGGACATATAATATTTTTTTTAAATATTTAAACTTTTACTTTGGCAATTTCTTTGAAAGGTAAGATACAGAAACACATATATTCCAGTTTAAATGTCTGAAATTTATGGTATGCGTACATAAGGCCACAATAGGCTTGTAATTCGGCAACCCCTACCCTCAGCCGTCCAGGGCTAGGCCTAACCGGGTCCCGACACTCGGTAAAATGCGTGAATTGATGAAATACACTAAATCCATAGTACAGTTTACACACATTTATAAGCACATATATGTTCTGAAATCATTTACCACAACAGAAATGGTATTTTTGTGTGTACCTAGTAAGTCATGTTGAAAATCAGAGAATATGTACATACAGTCCAATTGACATATTTTCGTATTAATTACTGCTTTTTGAGCAATTGAATGTTGGAAACATCAGCTATTAAAATACACTTTTCTTTAATATTCATGAACTATTAGTCATTGACAGGTAATATACCAAAAGATTAGCTAAACCTGTTTGTACCTATATTAAATATCTTTATAGATTACATGATAATAAATACTGCCTTAAATTATGCCCTAGTTTAGGCCTACAGTGTGGCCTAGCCATTATAGGCCTAGGGGCGTAGGGCCGTTTCGGCCGCGAAAAAGTTTTCATTTACATGGCTCAGTGATTATGAACTGAGCATGCGCAGTAAGCATTCAATTGGCAGCAACAGTGTTTGGTTGATTGGATTTGCATATCAAAAGCATGCAACACACAACGAATCGCCGGGATGGAAGAACAAAGGAAATCTCGGGTCGTTTCCAATCTCCTTCTATAGTTGTCTCAGGTTTCAATAAGTAATTTTATAATAATTGAGTTTCCACATAGAAATTACTAAAAAAACAAAAAATGCCAAGCTGTAGACACATGCTCCCACTGAGAGGCTATTTTTGTATTGCTATTATAGTCATATACATTAGCATGTGAGCTGCATACAGGCGAATGATTGTTCAAATTACACCGCAAAGAATATTTCGTTGCCAGGCCCAGCCTAATGTAAGCATCAGGTTGGTGCCAGAACAATCATGCTGTCTGCAACAATCTTTGAGTTTCTTGTTAGATACAAAGCTGACGAGAACGAGTTTCAAGAATCACAATGATCCTGTCTCATCTGCCTAATTGACAACCACTCGTCCCTGACAACAAAAGGTAACACACTCCTAGCATTGTCATGTGTGAATTGTTTAAAATATTATTACCAGCCTGAAAATACCAACACGTCAGGATGGTGCATTAATCCCATTTGATTCATTCATGTCCCCTACTTTCTGAAATGGTTTAGACTTAGCTTCATCTTTCTTTTTTGTTTTCTGGACCATTTCATTTCCTGGCTGGGATTTACTACTTTTAGGTTGCTGTGGATTTTTCTTTACAGAGGAAGCAGATTTATCTTCATTTTTGTGAGTGACTTTCTGTTTGTCCTGAAAATGACGCTTGTGATTCTTTACAGGTTGTTTCCGCCTCCTTTCATGACTGACTGAATCGGACCATAAAGCATCAAATATTCCTGGAGCTTGGTACCTGAATCAAAAAAAAAGAAAAAAGAAAGAAAAATGTTAATGCAATTCATTTATTACGCACATCTGATGAAACTGTACAAGACAATGTCTTCACCAAAGGTAACAAAATACCTGGCTGGTGTCTGACAGGGGAAAGTCTATTACAATAATAGAAGTTGTTTGGCGCATAGAAGCGGTTTGTTGCAGCAGGAACGATTTGGTTTCCCGACCTCAAGGTTGGGGTTTCAACTTCTTGCTGTACATTTTACTTGTGTCCTTCAGCATGGCAGTTGCTTGCCTCCACCCAGGAGTATAAATGGGTTCCTGGTGGGGTTACCTGCTCCTGCGCTGATTACCAGAAGCAACACTTAAGCATGAAGTCCCAATGACTATGGAAAAGATGCGCTTTGTATCTGCAAAGAAAAGGCTCTATTGAGTACTGCAGTGTTACGTCACGATACCGCGTAATACTACTCCGTTGCTATCGTTGCAAAATGCATTCAACCGAACATCATTTTCTCCACTGACCAACCATTGATCCCAATTTCTAACGTAATTATTAAGATATTGTATCTTAGTTTTTCTTTGTAAATTTTAATTGATGATTAAATGTGTGTTCGATAACTAATATAACGCAAGCTTTTGTGTTTCAGTACATTTTGATGGTAAAATATTAAATTTTAAAATGCCTATTCCAGAAAGACTATGAAGTCATTCAGGCGTAATGAACGGTAACCAACGTCTGGTTGGTAACAGAAGGTGCTACCTGGCATTGTAACGACACAACTGTGGTACGCTATGTAAACGATATAAATAATAATAATCTGAAGAAAGAATTAAATCATATGGCAGAGTTGATGGTTTAAATCCATTTCCAGAGGAAATAAATTTTATAATTTTATGTCACCTGATACTCTGAAATACTGTGTATCTTACCCTGGTTGTGAGGCATCTAATAGATCCTTTGATAGTAGAATACATATGCTTGGTACACTTCTGGTTACCTTTAATCTGAAACGCCAATAAATAAACCTGATATAGATAGATGTTAGGTTATGGCAATGGAGTTGTGCTAGGAGTTTGCAATGCTATAGCTAGAGTTGATCAAAGATTTATTACAATAATGATCAGTATAATGATGTAAAAGATAATAACAATAATGCTTCACCATAATAATTTGTTATGGTACATCTTTAGGTTTTGTGAAGGTCAAGCAATTTAGTGTGTATGAAATGGAGCATTATGAGAATGATACATGATAACATGAACATACAAGAGACAGCTTGGATCAGGGTTCTCAAATGACAGTCAGATCTTTTCAGCAATAAAGCATCAGTGTCTTACAAATAGATTTATCTGACAGACTCAATTATCGCTTCTTCATCATACTGTCTAAAAATGCTCAAAAATAATTTACAGTACAACCAAAATTAGAAATAATAAACAGACTTACCTGTCTAAACCTTCTTCGATTGGTTCCCAATATTCTTCAGTTCTTTAACATAAAGATGATATAAATACAAATTGAAATAAACACAGTAATACTAAAAAATAATAATAATAGTAGTATCAATAGTAATACAAAATATAACAACATAAGAATACTAACAATAATACAATAATTATAATGATGTATATGATGATGATAATAATGAAACAATAATAGCAATTAATGGCCCTATCAAATCAATAAAGCAATCAATTAACTAATTAACCAACCAACCAATAAATTAGACAATCAACAAAACAATCAACTAAGCAATCAATCAGGCAATCAACAAATCAATCAAACAACTAAATCAATCAACCAATCAATCAACCAACCAATCAACCAACCAATCAAATCAATTACCAACTAATTCAATCAACCAACCAAATCAATCAACCAACCAAATCAATCAACCAACCAAATCAATCAACCAATCAATCAACCAACCAATCAATCAACCAACCAATCAATCAATCAATTAATCAAGCACTCAATCAATCAAGCAATTAATCAAACACTTGGAATAGGGCACCAAATTCCACTTCTGCTCTGTAGTTGTTTCAAGACTGACTATGGAGCATTATGGGTGCCTAATGATCAGCTCCCTACTGTTCAGGTTCCTAAAAAACGTTACCGTACCTATCCTAATAAACACCCCGCTTTGAATATATTCCCCCTCAAATAAACCCCCCATCCAGAGCCTCATTTGGAATAAACGGTTCCCTCGAATAAACACCCAAGGTATCAATGTAAACGCCCATTAAATGACTGTAAACAAAACTAATGGAAGCAACATCATTCTCAACATTCTATTAATATTCTACTGAAGTAGAATCGCATTTGTTCAAACATAGTTGGAATCAAGTCCTTATGATCATGCAATAACACATTTTGACGGTAATTATGTGTTGTAGTTCCACATTTACAGTGAGAATAAGGGGCATTTATTTGAGTATATATGTATCCGTTTTTCACCAGAAAAAATAAACGCCTCCCTTGAATAAATGCCTGCCTAGAATAAACGATCCCACAAACATCCTTCTCAGCAATATACAACCAGGGGCATTTATTCAAATAAATATGTTAATTGATAGTTAAAATGTAAACTTACTCTTTTCTAAATAGTTTAGTTATCTGGTGTAAATTCTTAACCTTCCTTTTCATAATTTCTGCACAAGTGATTGTCTTGCTGACTGCCAGTCCAGTTCCAGAAAAAGTCATCTGCCGAGTGCCATCTTCCTGAATCAACACACACATTTATAATTTAGCTACTTCAAATCATCTGTATATTGTACAGCTGAGATTATAAATACATTTTTTATTGAGAAAAATTTTTTTTTTCAATTGGACAATTCGGCCGTCCAATGGCAAAACAACATAACTGCTTTTATATTTATGTTCTTTTGCCTTGGAACAGCTGCATTGTTGAAGCACAATCATCATCTACAATTGTAATTTTATTGTAAAGTACTATACCTTAAGGCGTTTCACTGCAAATCCTATCAAATTGCGGACTCTGCTACCATTCTTGATCCTCATTGAAACTGCATCATTTCTAATAATGTCACCAAATAGAATGGATAAATCCACATCCACTTGGACTACCTCTCCTTTCCTGTAATGTTCCACTGAAATTATTAAAAACAAAATGATACCGTGTAGGTCTACAGTAGGCCTATGCATCAAATTCAACATTTAATTTAGCAATATATACAAGTCGTCTTTTTATTTTTTAAATATATCATAATTATAATTATAAAATATCACTTTTCTGCAGCCTTCAATGAGCACATGCCTACCTTTAAAAGCTGGTTTCAACTAGGGACTAGGTGAACTTATTTGCATGAATCGAGTCGGTTCATGTGCAATCACGTTTCTATCGCAGTTTATCGCTTCAGAAAAATCAACAGTTCAAACTTGTTTCTACTTTTTGCGAAGTAAAAAAATGCGCAATCAGAGCTCAGGAAGCAAACCGAATCAAGGAGGTACCCAGCAAACACAAAACGTTCTTATAACATTGTAGTTAAGCCTGGTTTCCTGTCAACGTAAGAAGGCAGATTTACTTACGATTATGTTGTTTTATCGTAAGAAAATGCGATTTTACAGGAAACCAATTGTGACTGGTGCGTTGTGAAATCAACCAACATAAAGTAAACTAAAATCGTCCCAAAACAGATTTGGACAGGAAACAGAAGTATTGAATTTCCTAATAATACGTTGATTTTCCATGATTTGAAAGGAAACCGCGATTTAGTAACTTTTTGTTAAATGTATGCGAGTTTTTCTTATGAAAAGTTGAGGCCAACTTTTCATAAGAAACGTAAGCGGAAATGTATGCTTTCTGTATATCTTGCCTATATATACAACACTGTTGAAGAACTAGAACTCTCATTGACTTAGGTATTGATAATAAAATGGTTAAAAAGAAGCATCCTCTATTTTTTCAAACACAATGACAGGCATGTAAGATCTTATAGATTTTGTTAGCCAAAAAAAAACAACAATTTAATTTAATTTAATTTTGTTTTGTGTTTTTGTTACAGTACATCCGTGAAATGAAATAAACAAAGTACAATATAGGCCTATTTGATATTTTGAGAGTTGAAACACTAAAATCGATAACGAGAAAGTTAGCAAATTGAGATTTGTAGGCACATACTGTACTACAGGAATAGACTATTGTTTAAATCGAACAGTGAAAATTGTCCTCGCATTTCACCAGGTTATTTTAATGAGCACACAGAAGGGAGAAATGTTAACATATCGCAATCGCAAAGAAAAATTCAACTTGACGTAACATGCATGTAATGACGTTAGGAGAGGCTTTGCTGGTCGAGCTTGAAAAATAACTTGCCGTAAGAATCGTTACCGGCGTATTTTGTCTGCAGCCCAGCATGAACAAGACACGGCTGTTTTGTCCAACTTCTCGTAACAGTCACAAGAAATTCAGAATTTTACGTCAACAGAAAACCAGGCTTTAGGTAGGCCTAGGCCCTATGTAATAAACGTTCACACACACAACGATGTTGCACGAACGTTTAAACGTTGTGAAATTAGGTCATTATTATAAATATGTAGGCCTAGGCCTATGACTATGTACTTGGTTCTACAAAATAACGTTTTTAATACCAAACTTTATACTAACGTTCTTATAATAACGCAATACTGTTATCTGGGTATACTTCTAGGCTAGTCCTCCTACCGAACTTCACTTACTCGATCGATTGTTCTAGGCCCAGGTCCTTATTTATGCTTAGTGCCAGTGGTATGCGTGACCGTCTCCCGGTTAAAGCCTTTGCTTTGATTTGATGCCTAGGAGGCCTAGGCTATACCTCCTTCCAATGACTAGCCTAGGCTAGTTTATGTAAGTTAAGCTTTCATTCCAGTTAAAAATAAATCGTCCTAAACTAACTCCAACAAAATTGAGCTTGTACGAAAACCAACTTTTATACTAATTCCCACAGATTGAGGGTTCTATCACACCATACACAAAGCTAAAAATGTGTAATGTAGGCATGTGTGCTGCCCTCTATACGCTTACGCCTCACCAACCAACAAGGTAAGCGTTATATAGTCCAGCAAACTTTGGTTGGTTGCATTTTTTTTTTGCTATATTTTTTAAAAATTGGATATGATGTAGAGTAGACCAAGGAGGATACCTCCTTGAGTAGACATAGATAAATCAAAAAAGTATGTGCAACATTTTTTTTTTCATACGTAAGGGGGGTTGCCAGCCGTTTCAAAATGGCCGCCATTTTTTCCTAAAATTGTCACTAATATTGTAAATTTATGTCATTAAAATGCAGTATTCAATTGGAAATACACTCATAACAATGACAGCAACAGTTAACTAAATATTGTACACATCTTTGAGCTATTACAATTTAAAATGGCTTCCATTGTCCATTATTTTGATTATGAATTTTCTTAGCGTATTTTCATACGCTTAAAATGAGTATCTTTCTTTCTTTCTTTTCTTTTTTTTTTTTTTTTGGCTTTTCCGATTTGGGTATATTGAACATTAAAAAAAAATTCTGTATACTTCACAAACTGCCAATCGATAATAAAATTAAAGTTTTTCAGTTTAAATTTATGCATAGAATCGTTTTCACCAATGTAACATTGTTCAAGATTGGTCTGGTAAAGTCTGAACTATGTTCTTTCTGTAATAAAGAAAAAGATCATCTCTTTCACATGTTTGTTGAGTGTAGAATCAGTCTTCCTTTGTGGGAAACTACTAAAGATTTTATCTTTAATGAAACTAATACAGTAATTAACTTTGACACAAAAATTATCTGCTTTGGAGACCCTGATTTACCACCAATCATTAATTCTTTCATATTGTTCACTAAATATTATATCTATAGTTGTAAATTACAAAATGTAATACCTTATTTCAAGGATCTAAAACTCTCCGACTAGAAAAGTATAAAGATAGACTCAGACTCTTGAATTGAACCTCTCCGCTGTATGGCATGATTTTTATTATTTCTACTGTTTTGTTATTGTTGTTAGTATTATTGTTGTTATTACTATTATTAATAATAACAATAATGATAATATTTTTTTTTTCTTTTCTCTTGAACAATTGTCTTTTATTTTATTGTAATGTCTATTTTATATTAAGGCTTTTTCATTGTTATTTTTTCTGTTCAATGTTATGTATGTATTATGCAAGAAAGGAATAAATACATTTAAAAAAAAAAAGATCTTCTCTCCATGCTTTAGTGTGTAGGCCCTACTCTTTACAGAATTGATCAAAGAAACTATGATGAAATTTCACATGTTAGATAAGTGTCATCATATACGTGAATTTTGTATTATTGTTGCTCTTAGAAAATATGTCCATGGATGTTTAAAAAAGTTTTCAATGTTTGGCACTATTCAAGCGTAATATCTTTCTATGCCTCACAATCAAACAGAAAATGAAACCTATCATCAATAAAGATATAGTGAGTTGGCACAAAGTGCATTTACCATCGATATTACTCGATGCCCATTTAAATGTTCGACCATCTAATGGTAAAGTGCTTGACATTTAAATTTTAAGCTAGCAACATAGAAGTTTGTATCAAGAAGATATTCCTCCAAAGCAGGGATGTGTTTACATTTAGCATATTCCGCAAGTGAGGATTTTGATTAATGTAGCTTACAGAGTCTTACGAGAACTTTTGGCGTTCCATACAACCAGAGAAAGATCTTTCTCGTGTGATTGGCCACTGATCAATTGGATGCGGGATTTCCCTAATCTGACCCGAGAGTCTATTTTCTATTGTGTGCATCATTTACACATTATATTGTGGAATCGTCTCGGTAACGATTGTCTCCGTCACACTCGGGAAATGTCGCATTGGAATTTAATTATTTTGGATCTCATTTCTTTGATTACATAAAAAGTAGATTTGCATACAGTAGGCCTTACTGTGTCCGGATTGGTACGTTATCTCGAGTGTTTGGCATAATGATAAGCTCTTGATTATCTTTTGATAAGTTTTGAAATTGTTCTGGCTATATACGGTAAGTCTTAATGTAGGACCAACAGAGAACAAGTACGATGTCAGATACTTATCTGTTACAGTACTTTACTTTTACCAACCTTTACACAGAATTGTTTTAGTTCTATCATTTTATAATTTCTTGATCTATGTATTTTGTATTGTCAGAGAGTCATACGTAGGTCTATAAATAATAGATGATGATTGGGACTTGGTGTAATAGCGCCAATGCCCCATTTGGAATAGAATACATTGGTGTTCGCGGTTCGCGATTTTTTTTCCGTACGAAACATTTGCATGAAACTTTATTCGGGCCATCTCGGATTGACTCGACTCGAGTTCGATACGAGGAACAAGAGCAGACACTTCGCAATGTCGTGCGCTCGAGTTTTACTTTTATTGCTCTTTCTATGTTTACCTACGGTGGGCCTATGAAATCTTACGGATTTATGGGATGTACGTGTGTACGTAACTAACTGTGACCTTCTTGTATGTTATTAAATGTTAGTATAATATCTACAACAACAGCTAGTACCCCTCCTTTATAAAGTGTAGATAGGTACACCAAAGGCTGACAGAAAGAATTAGATAAACTACAGGCCTAAAGCAGGCTGAGTTAAGTCCTACCTACCATAGTAGGCCCTCCCATAAACTAGGCCTAGGTCCCTAGGCTAGGGTCCTAGGCTGACACCAACAGTCACGCTTCACAGTGACGTTGATTGAAATTTTGAAAAAAAGGGGAAAAATTGAAGCATGAAATAAAAAATAGAGTGCATAAGAGAAATATTATTAAATAATAATAAATAAAATATACCATTCCGGCGTTGTTGAACTAGTTGGCCAAACTATCCTTGTAATGTAATTAATGTTAAATAATAACAATAACAATTGTTCATTTTAGCATTATTACGTTGGCCTAAGCCTTGTAATCAAGAACCTATTTATAGGCCTATAATTAATAACTAGCCCAAGGGAATATCTTTTGTGCTATTTCCCCTTAACGTCGTTTTTTTTTTCTTTTTTATGTTCTCTAATTTCTCCATTGTCTAAGTTCCTAAGGTAGGTTTTAATAACATAATAATGAATAATAATAATAATAAATAATAATCATTCGGCATTAATTAACTTGGTCTAGCCTTGTAATCAAGAACCCGCAGATACTATTTAACATAGGCTTAGGCCTCATTTATACATTCATTGGTGCCGCTCTGCCATTTGGCAGGTCTTTGACATCCAGTATTTTAGAGCTGCCTATTCTCAGCTCTTCTCTTAATTTGAAAATAAATGTCACCCTGTTTCATTTGAAAGAAACGCGCTATTCCTTCCTCTTTGTGCTTTCCCCTGAAAGCGTATATTTTTGTAGTTAGTAGGCCTAGGTAAATACTGTATGCAAAACCCAGATCTAACTAAAAAAAAAAAAAAAAATTGTCACAGTATCTAAGTCAAGTTCAAATAACACTTTCCATTACTCGTGCAGCTCAATCAAATATTTATATGTCATTTTAAACGACCCATTACTATTAGCATGGTAACATCAATGTATTTTTTAAAAATCAGACAGCGGCGTTCTCTCAGCAGTTGTTTTGCATTTTGTAGACGTTTATCTGTTGATGACCTTTTGACCTCCTGAATTCTGCAATATGAGATTTTCGGCCCGAGTCGATTCAGTCGAGACGGCCCGAGTGGAGTTTCATGTAAATGTTTCGTACGGAAAAAAAAATCGCTCGCGGTTCCCTGTTGTTCCAGTACCTGTGTATGAGGCGCCATGTGCTCACTTATTATTTAGCAAAAATTGACATGGTTTTTTACGTTATATATTTATATATTTTATATAATATATAATATTTTATATAATATATAATTTTTTATATAATATATAATTTTTTATATAATATATAATTTTTTTTTATAATAGGCCTATATAAAATATTATATATTATATAAAAAATGATATATTATATAAAATGTTATATATTATATAAAAAATGATATATTATATAAAAAATGATATATTATAAAAAATATTATATATTATATAAAATATTATATATTATATAAAAAATATATATTATATAAAAAAATCTTTCAATTGGGAAACCCGGAGTACTATAATTGTACCACTTGATTCTACTACATCTGTGTTGATAATAAAATATAAATAAATATATCGATAGAGAGAATATACTACTAGACCGTTGGTTTCCCAAACTTAATACAAAAACATTGTTGCAGAGCTTTAATTAACGAACTCACCATCACACCGGTGTTTGACCAAAACTCTGTTGCTGTCAAGAAATCCATCAATGTTAGTACATGTTGTCATATTTTACTCTGTTGTGCAGTCAATGGTGAGGTTTGTGAAACGGAGACTTCTCTAGTTCGTAAAATGCATTTCAGTAATCAAGTCTTCAAATATCCGTAGGAAATACAATATTTCCGCAGCATAGCACAAGGGTCATTCCGTGCCAACTCAACAAATGGGATGGCTGGGTACCGTCTCAGATTTTCTTGAAACTCGAATATAATGTGCACCAACATGTCTGACGAACAAACCCAAAATTTGACTTGCCAATTCCAAGTCGTTTAGAAGTTACGGCCATTTGAAATTTTAGGGTCATACCCCTTTTTAGCTATCAATTATGACATATTTGTAAAGTTGCATTTTCAATTAGCCATATCTTCAAATAGAATAAAGATAATTAACTGAAAATTGATATCTA